TAAAAACAAAGCCGCACATAAAAAGAGACAGATGTGTATTGTTTAAATTTTGACATTTAAGAGGACTTCTTAATGTGAGCTAAAAAATATAAAAATATTCTCAATGTTACCTAATCTGCATGATTTAATAGCACTTGGACATTTTCTAAGGAATGATAACAAAGTGCTGCGACTCCTCACGCTTGGAATTTACTGCCTGTCTGTGCCTCTGCCTGGGCCAAATTAAATACACAGCATAATGACCCTGTGAAAAATAACAAAGCACAGCTTCCTGCTCTAGTCTTTGGTTGAATAAACCCAAACTGAGGTAAAGAGGACAGTATTTCATTTAATCATGCAAGTAACTGTTTTCTTCTATCTCTTGAGTTAGAAGCTTCTTCAGAAGAAAAGTCTAGAAAAAAATCGTGATGTGATTGATCAGGTCATTTAAATAAAAAAATCTCTTTGAAGATGTTTTGCCTGAAGGGCTCAAGGAGTGTGAAAGAAGCATACAAGTCCACTGCCCACGCTATTCCACTCCTGAACACCTGTGGCTGCCCAAGGTCCGCGCACTATTCAAGCTTTTTGTCTGTGAAGCATAAGAGCTATCTTAGAAGAGATGGTTGGTGCACCACTTCCTTCCAGAAAACACCACGCAAAACTCTTTGGAAAGGTTTTGTGACATAGAGGATAAAGAAGTAGAAGGTAAACAGAAAGAAACATGCCCTGGAGTCCAAGTAGGCAGGTGGGTTTTGATTTGGTCCAGTTTGTTTTATTTTGATTTTAATTGGTTAGTTATTTGGTATTTTGCTTCATTTATTGCAAAAGTATGAACGGAACTCAGGGCCCTTCGTATTCTAGGTAAGTGTTCAACCTTTGAACACTACTTGTACTCGTGTTTTAGTTTTATTTTATTTTTGAGACAGGGCCTCCCTACATTGCTCAGCCTTTAATTTTACATATGCACCACACCCTTCTAGATGGTGAGTTTTGAGGATGTAAACTATGTCCACATGTTTGTATATGCAAGTTATAGAAAAGATAAAGTGCAGGAATGGTGTTTTAGGTAAGCAAAATTGGATAATGAATGATTTGTCCCATATACACAGGAAGGAATAGAATTAAGAATGTGTGGGTATGCAGTTGGAGTTTAGGGAGTACAATAAAAAACAAAGTTATTCTCTTCTGACTATATCAAGTTTAACTGAAAGGAGTCAACTATAGATGAATAACAGTGGGAATGATCTGTAAAGAGACATGAAGTAGTCCACACAGAGAGACACAAAACAAAGCATAGGTGACTGTAACAGGATCTGCAGGTTAGGTTGGTGACCACCTGCAAGAGATAGCCACAAACTGGAAGGTAAACACTCAGCATGCTCGTATTTTTACTGGTCATATTCGCTGCTTGAATTCAGGCATGGAATAGGTACAATACTACATTTAATCAGTACTAACATTTTTCGGTTAAACACGGGAACAATGGTGTCACTATCAACTCCCAAACATTTGTGGCACTGGTGCACCAGAGGGCATATCTTATCAGCTATGTCATTATTGTAGCTCACAGGATTCAGAGCTGGGTAAGACTATACAGCATATAGAAGCACCCTCCAGCAGTATGAGTGCTAGTCAATAGGTCTGAAGCGACCAGTTAGATTGAATCTAGCTGAAGGTACCAGCTAGATTGTTCTCCAGCCAGGGTTCTTTGACTCAAATATGTAATGGCTTCTGTTACAGGATCTTAAAGTTGTGGTGGGCATACAATAGAATTGGCAATACCCTGTCATATTATGGGGGATTTACATGACACCACTGACCCAACAGTCCAAAAGAGGTAGTCCATGTGGGTTTTATTTGGTAATATATATTTAATATCCCCCTCCCCTTGTGTGTGTGTGTGTATTAGGAAATTCAACGGTATTAGAGGGCTTTTTGGTTTTTTTATTTTATTAAAAATTTCTGCCTCCTCCCCACCTCCCTTTTCCCTCCCCCCTCTACGGTATTAGTTTACAGAAGAATTTTTCAAAAGTGTTAGGTATTCCTCCCAGTATTCCTTCCTCTACTCCACCCTCCCATTCCACATTTATCCTTTCCTGTTCTATTCCCTGCCTTTCCCATTACAACCTTTTATATTATTTCTCCTTCCTTGAACTGTACTTCCTCCAAAATGGTCGCTTATTAGTTACTTAACCTCTATGTGTATTCTAAATGAAACGCACATATGTAAAGCTTAAAAGCGAACACCCACATAAGAGAAAAATCATATAGTGTTTGTCTTTCCAAGTCTAGGTTACATAAGTCTAAATAGTTATTTTTAGTTCTGTCCATTTACCTGTAAATTTCATAACTAAAATTTCTTAACAGAAACAAAAAATCTATCTATAGTTTCTACTTTTATTTAACTTGAGTTTTAAAATTTTGCCAGCAAACCGAGTATGGTATCACATACCTGAACCTTCTAGGCAGAAGGCTAAGGTAAGAAGAACAAAAGTTCAAGTCCTAACTGGGCTACAGAGCAAGTCTCTGTCTCAAAAACATACAAAAAATAAAAGTTAGCAGTCAAATAATTAAGAATGAAAGTACATCAATGGATAACTGATATGAGAAATTAAGAATTACATGCTTATAAAATAACATATAATGAGGAATCGCTGTTTCTCAAAAACACATATTCTATGTATTCAAGGTCTATGATTATCTAAATGAAGTTCAACAACTGAATGAAAGCAAGCTGAGAGCCTTAACAACCTCCCAAAATTATCAGGGTCTTTATTATAGACACTGGGCTAAAAACTCAGACAATAAGAGGCAAATTAGAAACAAAACTATAATTATCATAGGAAACTAATTATAATTACCTTGAAATTAGCTCATGAAAATATTCTTCAGGTCTATTCAAAAATTGTGAATAGACAAGAATCTTGAAGAATATCTAGGACCCACCTTGTTATATTAGTTTCAATCAAGTTGAATTTGCATTTAATCTTAAATTATTGCGCTGAACCAGTTCTCTACAAGAGGAAGCAGATTAATTCTATGGTCCTAAGGAAAGACTGAAGTAGATATCATTTTTTACAATCAACTGTGATCAAATAGCCCTCTATCCATTTAATATGGCTAAGATGACCCAACCATGAGTGCATCTCTATCCTTGAAGAAAACCACACACGTGCACAAAACACGTAACACACATACAGTTACACAAGTCTTTTATACACTTAACCTTCTACATAAATGCCAAAGATTCTGAATTCTTTTTCTCCTCACAGTAAAATAATTAAGAGTTTATTTGGGATGCCAAAATTCTAGGTATGGACACCCAGGAGAGATCGCTAAGCTTTACAGCAAGCTATTAAAATGGATATTCTATTTTTCCCAAAAGAAAATGAAAAAAACTTTTATATTTTGTAATGTAACTTAGAATTATCCTACAAACTTATCCACCTCAGAAATGCTGCTTTCTCCATATACATCAAAGGATGAAGCCTGGATTTCCATTATTTAAGATGAATTCACACAAATTCTAACACTGTGCTTTGCTAAAACTCCCTCAAGAATTTTCATCATCAATCATAATTATGAATCACTTAACCATAGCCTTGATCTAGGAGCAAACTGCATGAGAAGAAACAGTGAAAAGAGTTGAAGAGACCTGAAACCATGGCACACTGTTGTCACTGGCAGAATAACGGAAAATACATAAGCACAGAACCAAGAGGCCACTGATGGAAACTCTCCATTCAATCTGGGTGTGAGATCTTTTATTAATCTAAAAAATAAGAATAATGAATCTGATTATTTCTAATCAGTTCAAAAGTACAATGACTTTTATGAATCAAGGTAAGAAAGTCTAGCTTGATGTCTAGAGCCAGCCACTAGAAAATCTTAGTTAGGGAAGCAAATGTCCCTAAAGAGGTCAAGAATCCACTAGTGAAAAAAAAAAAAAAAAACAAGGAGAAATCCTCCAAACTTATAATTATCCCAGAAGGTAACTCAGCTTGAGAAGAGCATTTATACCAGGAAATATTAGCACAGTCTCATGTGCAGAAGGGCCAAAAACAGAACAAGAGCGGGAAACATACCGGGTTCACACTGGATTGTTTTCCTCAAATTTGTATTTAAAATAAATGGAAATAAAACTAGGCCTAGCCAAGGAAATAATCTCTTAACATTGGAAGGATGACTGGAAGTGCTGGTGGCTTTCCCAACAACAACAAAAAAAAATCCGAGTTTTCTGCTTCCAGTCAAGAATATGCATGTTGAAATAGCTAGAGCAAAATCCACTCCTTTATTGAGCAGATACTTCCAGGGTACACTGCCTACGTTTCTTCCGGATATAAGAGGAGTGATGAGAAAGACCGTCATGACATAATATGAAAAGTCTGACAAATAAAAGGAAATGCAAAGAAATAAGCAGCTAGGCTAGGCTAAGGCTGGTGGCTTGGAAGAAGTAGTGGAGTTTTCGTCATTTCTGAAGGATCGCGGTTTTTTCCATATTCACTTGCACTAGTCAAAGTCCAGAAATTCTGAGGTTAAGTTTAGACACTTAATAAAGAACAGCAGTTCAAACCATCTGTTTTTCTCCAAGGATGAAGATCCATCACACACAGATTTTCACTTGACTCTAACCCTGTGAGAATATTGTTGTCAGATGGAGAAAGCAACATTTGTTTTACAACTAGCATGATAACACACCATGCTTTAAAAAGTAGCTACAGTAAATAGCGTAACAAAAGGTTTTGGGTGAAAGAGGGGGAAAAAAGAAAAAAATTAAGAAACGATCATATTATGAGCTCCAAAGTAATTTCCTTTCTGTTTGTTCCTTTGATCCATTTAAGGGTTCTGTCACAAATCTTCTGGTGAAGAAATACGATAAAAAATTAAAAGAACAATAGAACCTTGCTATAATAAGTCAGAGATGCCTTATAGAAGAACCCTGGAGGACTTGTTAAAAAAAAATATTCCCAGAGTCAAATTGTACAGACCTGCGGTTTATAATAACAAAGGCTAAGTCATACCTGATAAGGAACAATGCTACCATGAGCTGTGCCCCAGCGTTTTGCTTCCTTTTGGCCAATAAGATAATTAGCACCTACTTGGGTCAAACATGCCACCTGCCAGAATAAAATAGGAGGAAAAGGAGTTAGTTTGCCTGTAATAATTAAGAAACTGTTATACTATAAAGCCACTTTGTTTCCTGTCATCATAGAGGGGAAAAGACCCAAATTCAGTGAGAACATATACATGTCTATATTTACTTCACACAAAGAGAGAACGTTAGTTCCTGACTAAATGATAATCAGTATAGAAATATAAACACAAAGAAATTCATCCCCTGAAAAGGCCATCTGAAGACAGATGTCAACAAAGCCATAGGCATTTTGATCTAGACTTGGGTGGGGAAAAAAAGCCACAACAGGATATGTTAGTCACTAGTATATGAACTCCCCTCTCTGGCTATGCCCTTACTCTTTTCGTCATGATAACACTAAACATCCTGCATCATCACTAAGGCCGGTAAACCAAAGCAAGGAGCTACAGTCTTCTGAGCTTTTCATAATATAAAGAGAAATAATGCCAAGATTCTATTCAGGCAATTTAGTTGCATTTTGAAAAAAATGCCCAAGCATTTTTGACATGGAAATACAAGATCTTTTAAAATTCATTAATAAGTTTTCCTTCCCCTCCATCACCCGTCAATGACTGAAGCAGGTGGGAAAGCTGGCCCCGAGGTCATAAAACTGGAGGAGCTAGCCCTGCTCCTCGTCTGCTGCAGCTCTTGGGAGAGCGGCCCCAATTGCCATGCCTGGGCAACACAGTAGAGCTGGCCCTGAAGGTGTAGATGTGGGAGATCTGGTCCTGAGGAGATGAAAATGGGAAAACTGGACCGGCCCCTTGCTCATAACCAGGGCAATGCAGGAGAGCTCACCCTGGTGGTGAGGACAAGGAAGAGCTGACAGACTGACCAATCCTGAAACTACCAAGGCCCAGAACCAGGATTGGCCCTCCCCACTTGTGCTGGAGCACATGAAGGGACCAGTCCTGCAGGCCCAAAGCTGCAGAATCTACACAGCACAGGGCAACATCAGGATAACCACGAGGATTTCCAGTGAACGCTCGGTATTGATAGGATAGCAGAAACCAGAGGCCTCAAACCAGTACAAAGACTCTTCACAATGAACACTTGCAAGTAACAATATATGGACAAAGGGGTTTACTGTATGACTTATTATGTCACACTGCAGCTTCCATGATGAGATTCCCTCGTCCTTTTTATTTTTTTTCTTTTTTCTCTTAAATTTTATGGGGGGGGAGGGCGGGGAGGCTGCAAGGGCCGAGGAGAGAAATGCAGAGACAGGAAATGAATGGGATCGAGATGCATGAAGTGAAAGACACAACGAATAAATAAAAAGAAAGTTAAATGAAATAAAAATGGTCAAACCTTCCTAATTTAAGCAGAAATTACTTTCTCTCTCAACTTGCTCTGATCCACATGCCTTCATTATTAGGCTCATTTTGTTTTGAGCACCATAGATCTATTTAGGGGTCATAAGAAACCTCAACCTCATTCTGTGGATCTTAATGTTCTAGGAACAGATACTGAAAACCCTCTTATTTTGATTTTGGTTCATCTGCTAGTGGTTTGAACTCGAGTCAGAGCCTCAGTCTATAACCCAGGATACCCAGGAACAAACTTTATAGGCCAGGTTAGCGTCAAACTTGCAGCAAATCTCCTGCTGTGTACTGGGATCATAGGCACAACCTGTAAACTTTCAAATCTGCAAAATGGGGATAATGGCAGGATTTCTATGACCATCTATAAGGGATCTCAGGGTCCCTAGATATATAGGCCTCAGATATCAAAACTATAAGAGGGATTTCATAATTTACAAGAAAATACCTGGTTTCATGACATAGCTTCGATATTAAGCTTAATTTTCCTTCTTTAGGCCATCAGTTGTGATGGGGCACCTACAGAGCCTGTAATTCACACACCCCAAACTGCTAGAAGTTTCTGGAACAACTCAGATATTGATTTTTCAGGGCAAAGTGCCTTAACCATTGCTTGCCCTGTGCCCGGCATGGAAAGTGTGCCTCTTACAAGAGATATCAATAGGAAACATGCTGAGTGCATCTTGCTGTTTTATCAACCATTTTCCTCTATTTTGGAGACTGACTCGTTTTTGTGTTCATTTACTGCTCTGCTGAAATTGGAACTGCCTTGTGGCAGCTGGTTTGGCTGTACTACCCAGGTGGCAAAGCTAATAAATTCTGAGTCATTCACTTCTGGACTTCCATCTGGTATTGGGCATTTGAACCATGAAACACTCCAGGGCTGCTTGGACTGCCTAGTGCTAATGATCATTTCACAGACCACTTCTGTGTCTTTCAAAATGCAAAATCAAAAGAACATTTTGTCGTGAAAAATGCCCTGGAAGGGAATTCCAGAGTCATGGTTTCTAAGTTTTTCCAACTTGCAAGTAGGTATATGACTTTGGCATCTAATTTAACCTCTTTGACCTCCAAATATTTTCTCTATAAAGTTATGATCATTTTAGCTAAACTTATGGGTTTTAAAGCATTTCAAAATCAAATAAAATATTTAAAGCCCTAATGTATAGACAGACAATATACCAAGTGCTTGGGATGAAGCATATGATGTAACTCACAGACAATATAAACACAAACTGCAAATTAGTAAATGATCTCGAAGTTTTCAATTAACAACTGTACTTCTAACCCTACTATTCCTTTAAGCTGTTAAATGATAAGACAAAAGAGATAAAATAGTAATTATTTTCTCATGATGCCTCTTCCTGAATTTTGGGGACATTTTCTGACGTCTGAGTTCTGTAAGACAGATACTTCTTTCATGGATCTCTTTTTAGGGCCTATGTATTTTTTTTCATTCAAGGAAATCCCAGTGAAAGTCACTATCTAAAACACTGATGAGACTACAGGGTTAGAATTCAGATTCATAAAGGTAAATACCATAGAAATGAATCACTATTTGTTTATTATGTCTCTCTTATTTCAAAGTCAACAGATGCTTGCTACAGCAGCATCAGCAAAGATGCATGAGGCAGGAGATGGGGAAATGATCAAAGTGAAACTGCAAATCCTAAAATGAAATACTTAAGGGCTAGACTCAAGGTTGACCATCAACCTGGCTACCTTATTCCTTAGATATCTTATTTTTCTCTTTCAATTCTGTGCGTGCATGCGTGCGTGTGTGTGTGTGTGTGTGTGTGTGTGTGTGTGTGTGTGTGTTGTGAGACAGGGTCTCTACACATAACCATAGATGTCTTGGTAATCAGTATGAAGATCAGGCTTGACTTTTCTTTGCCCAACCCTGCCTTATTTGGAGTAAATTTGAATTAAAGACCAGAACTTACCTATCAAACTACTTCTAAGTGGAAGATAATATCCATTTCCTCTATACATCAGTGATTAATCTCCAAAGTGTTTCAGAATCACCAGGTTCTCAGTGGGTAGAAAGGTTAAATAAGATTTTAAACCAGTTGTCATTAAAATAAAACCATGATTTGTTGGTAGCTTCTCAAAGACAAAGTTGGTTGGGGGAAGGATTCTATTTTTGAAAAGAGAGCAATGGGGCTAAACTTAGCAGTTCAATGTTTAAAGAGGGCATACAAATCTGAGAGTGATCTGCTGTTTATAGGACTGTATTTTAAGGCAGGAGAAGGGGGAGAAAGTCAACAGCTATGAGGTGATTTTGTATGAAAAATCAGAGGTTTCTTGGGCAATTAGTGACAAATTTTTCACAAATTAAAAGAATGCAGGATGTGACTTTTAGGTTAATAACTACATACTAAACACTTATTCTAAATATTGCATTAGATCATTACTTTCATCCCCTAAACTTAGGCTCATTAGTTCATCAAGTGGACGCTATATAATTTACTCAGAATGTTGCTTTTATATGGTTTCATCTAAACAAAAAAAAAGCCAACTTTGGTTTAATAATAATAATTCTGCAGTAAATCTATTATTTTAAATAACACAGTGGTCCTGATAGTCTTTGTATCTAACCAGAAGACCAATGAGGACTAACCTTAAGTGGATCACAAAAGGCACAGCCTCTAGAGGCTTGAGGAATGTTGCAGTCTTTTATTTCACAAAGAAGCCTTGTGATTCCTGTCACCACCTGATCACAAGCTACATTTCCAACAAGCAAACTGAATAGAATATTTCATCTACAAGAAAAAATCAACTATAAAACCAAAAAGAAAACTAGAACTATGGTTCATTGCATCAAAACAGGTCATTTTCCTCCTGTTGCAATTCTGTATATTGTGGCCAATAACTATGCTACACTAAATACTAAGCAAACATTCATTTATTCATCCCTCTCTACCCAGTCTTAATCATCAATTTTAACATCATCTTTTCTATCAAGCCCCATGTTCTTTACCTAAACAAATAAATATTTCTTGGCTTTAAATGAATAAAGTACCTTAATACAACTAATTTCTGCTATACTTTCTAAGGTGTACTTGTTCTACAATTACAAGGCAATAAGATGTCAAAACTAAAAGGCACTGGATTAGTTCTTCTCAAACACAGTTATAGCTGTGCATGTATCACTGTTACAATAGAGAGGAGCATAGGAATTCTTGTAACATACCCCTAAGCTTCTGAATCAAGTCCCCTAGGGATAGAACATGGGGAAAAATCATGAGGCTAGTGTACTTTTAGTTGCACAGTCAATTTGAATACCAAAGTTTTAACAGTGTTAAATCAAATAGTTTAACATTATACATGGATACATAAAAGAATATAGAAGAGAAATAACTTGTCTGAGGCCACACAGCTACTTAATTACTTCAACTCCATTGTTTTCCCTATGTTATAATGGTATCTGTGTCTCCTTTTGTTCTTTTTAAATTAGGGACAAGTTTATGGGAAATGCTGTGTATCCTAAACCCTTTTTATACTCTCATGCATGTAACACAGAACCTCAACACTGACAGTTTTAGTAATTTAAATAGCAATCAGTATTTGTTGATTAAGTAAATGCTTGAAATTATTATATGAAATATACTGTGCTAGATGTGGGGATGAATAGAAATAAAGACAGATAGGGAGACAGATA